CTTACTACTAGGAGCAAGGACGCTACTAGGGGCTCCTGGCCTTACTACTAGGAGCAAGGACGCTACTAGGGGCTCCTGGCATCGCTACTGGGAACAAGGACGCTACTAGGGGCTCCTGGCATCGCTACTAGGAACAAGGACGCTTTTATAACATGGGCAACCGGAGACAGCTTGAATTTCACATGTCTCCAGGCCATGGCCATGTTCGTATCACCCGGCCTGTGCGGACGCTGTGGGCAAGCCACCTCGAGCAAAGGCATTCATGACCAGGCTCCACTCCTAGCGTTGGGCTGTTCGAAATCTGAACATTCTCAATAGCTTGGGTTTTTTGAGCAACACGTGAGAAGACCGAAGGAAGTCTCCTTGGATTCGGATAAGAACTTCTAGTTCTGTCAGATTGGCTCTCTTCACAACATGGCACAGCAAACACTGGCCATACTTGTAGTTCTGTTTTGGCCCACGAATGCTCCCCACTACCTTTCAGGCCTACGGGGCATTGAAAAAAACAGAAAATCAAGACACGACTAGCGTCTTAGTCTATGTTCGCGTAGTGACGTCTATCTTTTACCTCGAATTGATGTCACCCTGCGCTACGTACTCAGTGCAATGGCCTCCACCCTAATAGCGATGGACTCCAACCTAATAATCCTAATAGCAATGGCCATGTTGCAAGCAAAGAAATACCACGATAGCTCCGTTCCCAACTTGAGAAAAACACGGGCTACTGCAAGATTACTTTGAGCTGCTCATGCTAGTTGAGTCCAGCGGTCGTGCTAAATGTGTCAATGAGGACCCCATCCTTTGGCTGCAAAACTTCTGTGGGGCTGCGCCAACGTGCCGCAGCTGAAACCAAGAAGTTTCTTGATCCTGGGCATTGAAACCAAGCACTAACGTTAACACTCTCTTAATGAGAAGCCTTGGGAAGTACGTCTTGGTAATGAGAACAATAGATGTGATGTGAGTGGCCTGAACCCCATGAGTTCTATGAGAACCTTGGAAAAGAAGCCAGTGGTTGCTGCTTGTGTTGGTGCAATGGGGCTGAGACTTGGCAAAAACCGGTTGACGGCTCTCCAACATGCTACTCTTTGACACCATACTGACCCGGTGTTGGGTCAAAACCTAAAGCTCGACAAGTGGCTTGCAGGAGGACGATGTGACACGTGACACGGAGATGGCGATGCAATGCAGTCATCCGTGTAATATACATCACATCTTCAAGCAAAATTGCTTTCTGGTTAATAGTAGCGATGCCAGGAGCCCCTAGCGTCCTTGCTCCTAGTAGTAAGGCCAGGAACCCCTACTGTAGTAGCTTCTTGTTCCTACTAGCAATGGCCTCCAACCTAATGGCAAAAGGAAGTGCAATGGCCTCGAACCTACTAGCGATGGCCTCCTGTCGGCAAAATGTGACGATTCTACCCCGGGACAGTGGCGCTGTGAGCAGTACACGAGTACTTGGATCTAACACTGTGGCTCCAACGCTCTTAGGTTGAAGGCCATTGCTAATAGGAGGAGCAAAGGGCATCGCTACTAGGAGCAAGGACGCTACTAGTAGCTCCTGGCCTTACTACTAGGAACAAGAAGTTACTAGTAACAAAGGGCAAACTTGTGAGAACATGAAGCTCCTCAAAAAACCCTGGTCTTGTCAAGCACGTTTGCACCTTCCAACACGCACCCTGTCATATCCCTGTCCTGGCAGGGATGCCAGTGAAGAGGTCAAGGGCCGGATTTCTGATGGCTCCAAGTGTTGGACGCGTGCCTGGAAATCGGCATCTCCACCATCTGACTGGGCCAGGCTAGTAGTACTCGCGTCCTTTGCCCCTAGTAGCGTTCTTGTTACTAGTAGTAAGGCAGGAGCCCCTAGTAGCTTCTTGCTCCTAGTAGTAAGGCCAGGAGCCCCTAGTAGCGTCCATACTCCTAGTAGTACTTGCATTTGTCTTATTCACTACCCCAATACATCAATATGCAGCATGCAACATCTATAAGTTCTCTCAATCTGAAATCTTCTGACCTGAATCCAACTGACTTCAAGTGACAATGATCTCTCTTTTCAAACGACAGTGGACCTTGAAGTTGGAAGGAACTCTGGGAACTGTTTGCGTCCTTCATTCCTCTCCCAGTCTCGCTCACTCTCTCTGTCAACTGAAATCTCGTTTCTTGCATGTGCAAACAGCCCGTGGAAGCAATGTCAAGTCGCAAGTGTCCCTTGACCTCTGCAATTAGGTTGGAGGCCATCGCTACCAGGGTGGAGGCCATTCCCATTAGCTTGGAGGCCATTGGTGTCATGTAAATCTTTCGATCTGGTTCGGCCTCGGCTAGGTGCAGCAGTGAGTCCCGCAAGGGCACCATCACTTCAGCCTGCCTCCTGTGCACCCAGAGGTTTCCCAGAAAGTTCCCGGGTGAACTGAAGGTCTAAAGAAAAAGCAGTAGGAAGAAAGGTCTAAAGAACACCAAAATAAACGCCTGAAGAACACATGCACAAAAAGACAATCACGAAAAAACACAAAGAAAGAACAGTCTAAACATCAAAACGGCAGAAAGGTCTAAAGAAGCACAGAAAACAAAGGGATCGTGTGTACGTGGTGGTGACCCTGCACACTCTCTGTGCTTCCAATTTGAGAAGGCGTGCAAGCAAGTTGCTCTGAGCATCGTGCGCTGCAGCCCAACATTTTGGATTGCACCGGATGAAATTGAACTTACACAATTTGCCTTTAGGGTAACCTAATAGCAATGGCCTCCATGCCTTTAGGGCAGCTGTGGAGAAGAAAAACGTACTCGGGAATTAGCTAGCGACTTCGGAACTTGTGCTCCTTGTCCAGGAAGATGACATTGCTTTGACGTGTAAGTGGGTTGAGATAGGGTGATATTGACGTTTGTTTGTTGACTGCAAAAACGCTACGGGACCTTGGCGGAATGTGAAATTGTAAGCGGACGTCGGGGCACGCACTTGGTACACAACATGCAGACATGTATGCCATGCGAGCACGGCGTGTCGCTCAAGAGGTACATGAGACTTGCGCGTGTGCTCCTATGTAGTAGTAACAAGTGCCTTACTAATAGTAACAAGAAGCTACTAGTAACAAGTGCATCGCTTCTAGTAACAAGTGCCTTACTAG